GGGGCGCCCGCGCGCGGCCACCGCCCTACACCGGCGTCTGGCTGGGCGAGCGGAAGATCTGCGCCATCGGTGAGCGCCGCGGGGCGGGGCCTGGCGGGGCGGGGCCGATGGAGCGCTTAAGGGTCTTCTCTTCAGAGCCAGAAGGGCCCTGAGAAGGCATCTTGTACAACCTTACAAATGCAGAGACTCGAGAAGTGAATCGCCAGGTTACTTCGCAAGTGTCAGGACCGTAAGGCACTTAGTAGTTCAGTTCGCACCCTTTTTTAATTTTTTTAAGCAACAGTCTCTGTTGAAGACATTTTCTGTAATCTCCATAGTAAGTGCAGCTGTTGTGGGGCCACGTACCACTCCCCTCACTTTGTCCCCCTCTCGGATCTTTGCACAACCCCTTGGGTGCTCCAGAAACAGCTGGAAAATCAGTGATCCAATCCAGTTCCCTCAACACACGGGGATCCTGAAACCTGGGGAGGGAGGGTATTGATTTTAACACCCTTTGGCTTGTCTTGCAGGAGTCCGCTATGGAAGACACATCACATCCCACGGGCAGGCCCTGAACTGTTCCACAGACCTCACGTGGTTTGAGTACATTGTGCCCTGCGGGCTGGTCGGGACAGGCGTCACTTCCCTGAGTAAGGAGCTCCAGAGGCACATCACTGTGGATGAAGTAATACCACCTTTCCTTGAGGCCTTTAAGGAGACCTACAAGTGCACCTTGGTCTCTGACGACAGTACCAACTGAAAGGCATTCATGTTATCACAGCCAGGATCCTGGTCCTACCTTGGAAAGTACCAAGCCTGACTTGGAGTCAGTGAAACCCAGATTCTAGATTTGGGCCTATCATTCACTCACCATGAGACTATGGGCCAAGAGCTCTTAGCCATTGTCTTCATGTGTAACCTGATTTATTTATATCTTCCCACCTACCTCAGATATAGAAATGAAAATGTGAAAAGTAATACATGCTTTTTAAATAAAATGCATTACCACTACTATTGATATCACTTTCTAAGCTTAGAGTATCATTTCTCACTTATTTATTACTTCCTCAATACTGTATTTAACTGGGCAATTCTGAGCTTCCAGTTCCTTTGATTTTGTAGGAATCATGTCTCTGGATGGCCCAGGTGAAGGTGATGTGATGTGGTGCTTTCTGCAATAAAGGGAAAGCCTCTTTAAAGAACAGAATAGGATCCTGTCTTCCTGAATTAGATTCCCTAAGCCTGATCGCTTTTTTTAGTTAGGTAACCTAAACTAGGCCAGAGGTTGGGGGAAGATAAGAACATTTCCCAAAGACAGAAGTAAGTTTTTCTGTGTATTAGTTATCTATTGCTGCATAACAAATCACCCCAAAACATAAACAGTAAACATCTCATATATAGTCTGTGGGTCAGGAATTTGGGAGAAGCTTCGCTGGGTGGTTCTGGGTCAAGGTCTCTCATGAGTTGTAGTCAAGATGTCATCTGGGACAGCTGTCATCTGAAGGTTTGACTGGGGCTAAAGAAACAGCTTTCAAGATGGTTCACTCACATGCTTGGTTGGTGCTGCTTGTTGATAGAAAGCCTCAGTTATTCATGTGGGCCACTCCATAAAGGCTACTTGAATATTCTTATGACCCAACAACTAGCTTCCCCCAGAGCAAGTGATGCCAGAGAGACAAGGTAGAAGCCACAATGTCTTTTATGACCCAGTGTTGGAAATTGCAGTCATTTCTCCAATCTCCTAATAAGTGAGCCCTACTCAGTGTGGAAGGGACTACACAAGGTTGATGGGAGGTGAGGATCATTAGGGACCATCTTGGAGACTGGCTACCACAGGCAGTTAGGGTGAAAAGAAACTTGAATGAGAATTCAGGTAACCCTGGTTCTAGTCCTGACTCTATGAGCAAGTCATTTACCCACTCTGGGCTTCAGTTTTCCCTTACACAAGCACTCTCCAATGGAAATATAATGTGGGCTTTATTATAATTTTACATTTTCTAGTAGCTACATTAAAAAAGTAAAAAACAGTTGACATTCATTTTAATAACATTTTAATTAACCCAGTGGACCCAAAATATTGTCAATATTATTTTTTCTATACTAAATCCAGATATTCAGTGTGTGTTTTACACTTATAGCACACCTCATTACGTACTACAAATGTTCAGTAGCCACATGTGGCTAGTGAGTGCCATGTTGAAAAATGTAACTTTAGACAATATCATATCTAAAGTCCTTTTTGATTTCCCAGGGTTCTGTGGCCTCACTGGCTTCTAAGAAGAAAACTGAATCTTCCCACATCCAATGTTTGATTTTTGACTCTGTACATAATTTATATCAGTTATTAAAGACAAAAGGGACTTTAGAGGTATATTCCTGTCTCATTGTATAAAGACAAAACCAAGACTTTGGAAGAAACTTGTTCAGAGCTGCACAGTAAATTAATGACAAAGCCAGGACTATGCTTTCTCATGCTCTTTTCCTGCTATAAGCACTGTCTTAAGAGCTCAGGACAATATAATGTGAACCTCATTATAATTTTGCATGCCATGGACACTCAGTATTAGCTGATGGGTGGTTTGTCCACCCATAATTGGCCCATATCCTTTCTAGGTCTTAGTTTCCCACCCATGGAGCCAACAGTGGTTTGTAGGAGTGCAGAGGTGGGGAGTAATTAATTACCTTGCAGTGTTAGTGCCAAGAAGGGGAATAATTATTCTAGGAAAAGTGGAGTTAGATTCTCATGGTTGGAAGGCTGTGCACAGTGCTGCTACCCATCTGGTACTTGGCTACCTCTTCAGCAACCCTAATAAGTGACCACACAGCCTGTTCTTGAATGCCTCCAGAAACTGGAAAAGAAACAAACATTTACTCAGCGTTTCTTTTTAGTAATGTGTCAGCCATCTTAAATAATTCCCTCACTCAGGAGCAGGCTGTGCCCCCCCCCCCCCC